GGAAACCAGGCGGTGCCAGGAACAAGCAACTGTTGGTAAGAGCTCAGTGCAGGTCTTCCCACACCCCGCACCACGCACGACTCACACCAGTCACTGTTTTCTCTCTCCAGACAACGTCCACCCAGCAAGACGAAGGAATCACCAGCTGGCAGTTGGCGTTCCTGCTTCAGCCTGCGGAAACCATCCTCTGTGGCCAAACGCCGACTGCAGCGCAGTCCCAGGGAGCCCTCAGAGACGGAAGTCGTGGCGCTGGCAGGTAAGGGTGCGAATCCAGATTTCAAAGCCTTGCTTTTCAGCGACATAGAATTCATGCAATACAAGTGGACTTGTATCTCCTCCTAGCGTTCCAACCTATACCTAGCATCTTCAGATCACCCCTGATCAAGAGCCACTTTCATAATTCAGCTTGTGAAAGTTTGACACTAACCCCTGTGTATCCTTCCTAGGTGAATCGAGCCCTTGTCTACCCAGAAGAGCCGGGGCAAGTAGCGATGGTGCGCTGTGTGCTTCCATCGATGGAGGGCTCTTAGGAAGCACGAGTCACGGTGGTTGCGATGGAGAGAAGGAGCTCATCCAAGTTCACGCCCTCATTTCTCCCGGCTGTGCTGAAGATGCTGACCTGAGCCTGCTGGACACCACAGTCACCAGCCTGGACTGTGACCCAGTGCCTTTGCAGTGCAGCCCAGCCCAAGCACAGTCCGAGTGCCCCGACAGCAGCACCTCCACGCAGGAGCAGGTCAGCGTCGCTGAGGAGAAGCCGAGCCTCTTGGAGGGGGACTTAGAATCAGGCCTCCAGCCCCAGGCACCGGGCAGCAGCACTGAGAGCTCTGAGCCACTCTCTTCTGTGACAAGAGAGGATGAGTCCCATCTTTACCCTGGACCTCTCACGCCCTCCTGTCTTTTACATAATAATAAAAGCACGCTCGTGCTCAATCAACGCCTTGACTGCCTTCCGAGTCTTCATTCACAGAGACTGGGACGAATGCAACGAAGAGCAAGGCACGCCAGCTTGCAACGCGATGGCTGTGGGGTGCGCGCAGCAGAGCTCTGGGTTTGTTCCCGTTATGTCTGGCTTTGGGACGTCTGCAGCGAGAGCTCAGC